ATTAATTTAAAAAAATAAAAATAATTTTATAAGAAATCTATACAAATTCTATTAAAATGAAGAACAAATAAAATTGTTATATAATAATAATAATAATAATAATAAATTTTTAAAAGAAAATGAAAAAGAAAAAAAGAAGAAGCAATGACCTAAACTGTAATATTTATAAACATCAATTTTTAGGACCAAAACTGCAGTTCTGACCAAAACGCAGGGACCATTTCTGTAATTTACTCTTCCGTCTTACAATTAGGAATTCTCGCTGGCGTTACATCATCATAGTGGATAGGCGACACGTTAAGGATCCAACGTCATGTATTCCCATCTACATGACATCATCATTTCGCCTGTTTTAATATAGACTATTCTAAATTATATTCATTCATCGGAGAACTCACCACAACCTCTCAACAACTTTGATGGAAAATTTGAAGAAAAAACGATCGGAGTTAAGAGGAGACCATAGATTACCCAGCAAGAAAATCAAGTCCAAGAAGGAGCGCTCCGACGTTGGAGGGACTGCCGATGACGCTGAGTTGGAGGAATTCTTTGCTATATTACAGCGGTTGCAGACGGGGTTTGATTACTTCGAGAATAAAGGTGCCGGGGGTTGTGGCGGTAAATCTGCAGCGGCACCACCGGCGACGGTATCAAGGTTGTGGGATCCGGCTTTTGAGTTGGAGGACTTTAAACAAGTTGATGACGGCAGCCAGCTGGTAGCAAGCGGCGGAGAAGCATTACAGAAGGACACCTTCATTGGGTTTGATCTTAACGCCGACCCGGAAACTCATCAGAAATCCAAATGATTCCGGTGTCTTTATAATTTGTCACTTTAATCAGTTTATTAATTTTCTTTATTATTTTGAGCAGTTTTGCTACATTTTTAGCCTGAAAGCATATATTAGGACTCTTGAATCAGATTACTGTGAGTTCCAGAATAATGTATTATATGTGTTTCATCGTTCGTTTGAGCTCCTTTATAAAACAACTATTTTTCAGTAGTTAATATCGATTATCGAACACCTACAAAATAACTGTTTTTTTTTTCTTTATCGAGGTTTATGTTAACCTTAAATTTGACTCGTATGAACGTGATATTAACTACCACGATTATAAAATAAATATATGCACCCTTGTTCTTCCAATCAGGGAGTTGGTGTTGGTCCTTTATCAAATTATTTTGGCCATTAAAGTTTGCGTCAATTTGCAAGCAAAGCACCACATGTTATGATGGGTCATCTTATTGACACAATCACACACGAATACATGATACGAGAGTCCAATTTTGAAAAAACAAACAAACAAACAATAAACGTTTCTTTGAAGTTTCCACATTTCCATGACAAATTGTTAATTGTTTAGCATAATTTTTGCTGTTTATATTATTTAAATACATCCGATTAAGGCTCACAGTTGTCATATCATACTCAACATACTTTTCTCGTTATTTTTAGTTACACCCCATAAAATTGTTGGGTGCGATACCTTACTTTACCACACTTTTTTAATTGAATAAATCATAATTAATTAAAAATTTTGTTTTTTTTTGTTTGTTTTTTTTATTTTTCATTTTTGGTCGAATAACATGTAATTAACTAAAAAAACTATTAGGGTTGTGACGAGATTGAAGACAGGTCCATTTGTGGTTGGTAAATCGACGTCTCAATTAACCGTAATTATTAAGGAATTTTGAGATTTTTTGAATTGTCTACGTCGGGAATCTCAGTCTCCGGCCCTTCTCTCCGGCGGGTGCAAACGCCGACAGTGCTGGGGTATCTTCTGGTTCCGACTTGATCGTCCTTCCTCTAATTCCGATTTGATTATCTTCTACTCATTCTTGTTGACGGATCCTGTGGGTATTCTCTTCCTGTAAGAGGTGTTCGTAATGGGTTACATGAACTCTGGGAATTCTCAATGGAAGCCTGATGATGGGTGGAATAAAGATCGTTATTTTAATGAAGCGAACAAGCGAAACGGAGCTCAATCTAAGCGGAATTATCATCACGTAAGATCTGATATTCAATTCTTCTACATTACAAACTTCTCGGAATCTGTTCTACCTTCTGACTTGTGGCGTGTTTGTGGTCGTCTGGGTAAAATTGCCGATGTGTTTGTTTCTAATAAGAAGTCTTGAATGGGGAAAAGGTTTGGCTTTGTTAGATTTTCGGGTAATTGTAACGCCGATCGTATAGTTAAGAAACTATGTGATGTATGGTTTGACTTTCATAAACTATATGCATCGGTTCCACGTGTTGCTAAAAATGATTCTTCTTTACACAAAATCCCCTCAAAAATTGAAAAAAATGAAGTCGATGTTGCCTCATATGCAAGTGTGGTTAGAGGTCAAGACAAGGGGAATAAAGAATGAGTTGATGTCGCTATTGTACTTAATTCTGGGGATTTTATTATTGAAAATAGAAAGCTTGCTTGTCTAGCAAAGGTAAAAGACTTTTCTACATTACCGAATCTTGGCATGTTATGTCATGATGAAGGTTTTGTTGATTTTCAAATCCGTTATGTAGGGGGCCTATGGCTGATGTTTGAATTCACCTCTAAAGAAACATATAAAATTTCTTGGTAAGTGATGCGGTTAGTCATTGGATCACAGAAAAACGATAGTGGGATAGAAATTTTGTTCTGCAAGATCGTATTGTCTGGGTTGATATTGAAGGACTACCTCCTCGGGCTTGGAGTAAGTTGGCATTTATGGAGATTTTTGGCAAAATGGGGTTGTGTGGTACAATTAGATGATAATCTTGGTGAATATATATACAAAATTCATGAATGTATTTTGACTTCTCATTTTGGTATTATTTCTGAAGTGGTAAAAGTTAGTGTGGATGGTATCATATTTCCAGTTAGAGTTAAAGAAGCACCTGGTTGGACTCCGTCATTTTCTTGTGGTTTCATGAAATCCGCTGGTGGGGAAGATGAGGGACATGTTTAGTTTGATGACGAAGGAAGTAATGTCTCTTTGAATGAGAATGATGAAGTATGCAAGGACCCGTTTGGAATTTATGACACATTGGAAAAACTTGACAAAGCTGAAATGAAAAATAAAAAATCTAATCATTGTGTTCCAAGGAAATTTAATGACAACAAGGATGTCAACGATGTTAACGAGCAATGCAATCGGTTTGACTATCCCATATCGTCAGCCATGTTAATAGCCCCTGCATCGGCCCCAATACAGCAGCCCTTTTCTGATCGATGGACAACTGCAGCTTTAGAATTTGTTCCTAATGTAGATCCGACAGCAGGCAGCCCCATTCCTGATGATCCTGTTCAGAAGAAGACGAGCAAACCTGATGTGAATCAGGTTAAAAAACACGTTGAGGATCAATTTGGTCCATCTCAATCTTCCTTTCCTCATCATGTGGCTGGTTCTTTGGGTTTAGGGTTTAGGGGCGAGTTATATGGATAAATGTGCTTGGATTAGAAAATTTTGTCATCTTAATAAAGTTAATTTTTTAGCTATTCCAGAAACGAAGATGGAAGAAATTGACTTTGTCTCGGTTAGATCTTTTTGGGGAAATGCTTCTTTTATGCATGCATTTTCTCCTTCTCGTGGTGCCTCGGGTGGTATTCTTGCCATTTGGGATCCGAATTGAATTTCTCATAAAAGGACGTTTATCTCGAATTGGTTCATTGCTATTGAAGCAATTTGGACTAATTCGGGTCTAGGAGTGTTATTTATTGTAGTTTATGCCCCGCAAGCCGTTGATTGTAAAAGACAACTCTGGAATGATATTACAAAGATTATCTCTTCTTTTCCGGACAAATGTATTATTATTGGTGACTTTAATGAAGTTCAAGATGAATCAGAAAGATTGGGATCAACCTTTTATCTGACTAATGCGCGATCCTTCAATGATTTTATTGATCATCTTGATCTCGTTGATGTTCCGTTAGGTGGTCCGCGTTTCACTTGGAGTGACAAATGGGGCTCTAAATTTAGTAAGTTCGATAGATTTTTGGTTACGAAAGTTATTTTGTCATCATTCCTTCATCTTACGGGTCTTGTCTTGGAAAAAAAGATTCCTGATCATCGTCATATTTTTTTTATTGGAACATCATGTTGATTATGGTCCTACCCCCTTCTGGGTTTTTCATTCTTGGTTTGAGATGGCCAATTTTGATGGCATAGTGAGAGATTCTGGGATGCAACCGATGATCGGAGTGGTTTTAGATAACCATTGGGTTATTTTTAAGAATAAATTACAACTTCTTAAATATAACTTAAGGAAGTGGAACATCAATAGACGAGACGTGGTTGCTAGTAAGAAGAAAATCATTCAAGATTCGATTGAGTCGATTGATAGTCGTTTGATGGGTGATGATGGCTCTGCTACTTTGAGAGAGCAGATGGTCTCTTTACTTAAAGAATTGGCGGATCTTGATCACGCTTCTCAGTTAGATCTTGCTTAGAAGGAAAAGATTCAATGGAGTATTGAAGGTGATGAGAACTCGGGTTACTTTCATGGTATCATTAATTATAAGAGGTATCAAATTGCTATTCATGGTCTTATGATAGACGGAGCTTGGGTAGTCAATCCTGTTCATATCAAGGAGGAATTTCATGCTTATTATCAGTCCCTTTTCTCATAGAATAAGGAATGCTGCCCTCTGACATGGGCTACCCATTTCAGTACTTTATATGTTGATCAGTTTAATTTCTTGCAGACTTTTTTTACCCGTGAGGAGATTAAAAGGGCTATTTGGGATTGTTGGTCTTCTAAGGCATCAGAACCTGATGTCTTTACTTTTGGGTTTTTCAAGCATTACTGGGATCTTATAACGAAGGATGTGGAGGCGTTTGTCATGCATTTTTTCTTCATTTTTCTATTCTGAAGGGATGCAATGCTTTTTTTTACTATTATCCCCGAAGTTCGAGACCTAAATAATTCGAGAGACTTTAGACCTGTTATTCTAATTGGATGCCAATATAAAATTATTGGCAAACTTTTAGCTAATAGATTAGTCGAGGTCATTACTAGTGTCGTTAGTTTGGAGCAGTCTGGTTTTGTGAAAGGCAGCCAAATTTTGGATGGTCCCTTTCTCCTTAATGAGGTAGTGGCTTGAAGTAAGTCTTCTAGGAATTCCCTGATGCTTCTTAAGGTAGACTTTGATAAGGCCTATGATTCCCTCTCATGGGACTGCCTTTTAGAGATCATGTAGAATATGGGGTTTGGTCCGTTATGGTGTGGTAGGATTATGGAGTTACTAAAGTCTGCCAGAGCTTCAGTTTTGGTCAATGGATCACATACTGATGAAATTTAGATTCATCGTGGTTTGAGACAGGGAGATCGTCTTTCTCCTCTCTTTTTCATATTGGCAATGGAGGGTCTTCATGTGGCTTTGGTTAGAGCTCAGATGACTAATGTATTTAAGGGGATCTCTATTTCACGCATCAAGATTTCTCATCTTTTATATGTTGATGATGTTATGCTGATTTCTTCTTGGGATCCTGCGAATACGAACTGTCTAATTCATATTTTCCATTGTTTATTCATGGCCTCAGGTATTAAAATCAATTTGCATAAAAGCAAATTGATTTGTGTGGGTGTTACTTTATCTTAGGTTTCTAGTGTTGCAGATATGATTGGGTGTGAAGTTTGTGACCTTCCTTTAATCCACCTCGGTGTTCCAGTTGGTTAGAATATGTCTAGTATCTCTGCATGGTCTCCTATGTTTGATTGTTTTAGGAGTAAATTGCCAGGCTAGAAGGCTAAATGCCTTTCTTTTGGTGGTCGGCTTACTTTAGTTAAGTCAGTTCTAGATTCATTGAGTACTTTTTTGATGTTGATTTTTCTTGCACCTGTTTTGGTTCTCAAGTCTCTAGAGGTGATGCGAGCCAAATTCTTTTGGGGAGCAGATTTAGATGAGAGATATATAAACCGGGTCAGATAGGACATAGTTTTAGAAGCCAGAGTAAAGGGTGGTTTTGGTATTGGGAGTTTATATTCCTTTAATAGGGTCATGATGCTTCACTAGTGGTGTAGATTCTATCATTGTCATGATCTGTTATGGGTTCGGATTATTAAATCTTTATATGGATCAGGTGGAGGTTGCAAGTCTATGTTCCCTAGGAGATCCGGATCGGGACCTTGATGTGGAGTAATTCGTATGTTTACCCAAATTCGGGAGAAGGGTATCGATATTCAGTCTTTCTTTCCTATCAGAGTTGGTGATGGGAATCATACGTATTTTCGGCAGGATTTGTGGATTGGAGAGGCCCCTCTTCCTGTCACTTTTCATAGAATTTTTGCTTTGGATAATGTCAGACATGCTACAATTAGTGATTGTCTGACCTTGGGGTGGGATCCTATTACTTCAGACGTAGTCCTAGCGGTAGTATCGAGCAAGAGCAGTGGGATGCTTTCATCTCTGTTTTGTAAGATTTTCAGTTGCAGTCTATTCCTGATAGATTGGGTTGGTCTATAGATGTTTATGATACTTTTTCTGTTTCTTCTGCTCATTGGTTCTTAGATGGGAGTATGCTTCACTCTGGAGTTGTTGAGACTAGATGGAATAATTGGGTTCCCATCAATATCAACACTATTTTATGGAGGATTTAGTTACTCAGTATTCCTACTAGAGAGAGACTATCTCATAGGGAATTATGATGGACTCGATTTTATGTCCTATATGTTCCCGTTCATTTGAATTTGTTGATCACGTCTTTGCATATTGTATCGAGTTGATGAAGATTTGGTTACACATTGCTATTTGGTGGGGAATTCATATTCCGACTGAAATTTTCGTTCACATCCTTATCAAATGGTCAAATTATGTTGCGTTGAGAAAGGGGTAACGAAAGGCCTTTGATGTTGTGGTTATGACAGCTTTCTAGTGCATGTGGAATTTTCGTAATTTGACAGTCTTTGGAACGGATATGCCTAGGAAATCCATGCTTTTCAATGATGTTATATATAGATTTTTCTTTTGGATTTCTGTAATGCCCGTGTTTCTAGGCTAGGCATTTATATTGACATTATAGTCTAGGTTAACCTTTGTAAC